AGAGCAAATAAGATTTTTTTAAAAATCAACACACATATTATAAATGGAAAAGTTAAAATATTCTGAAGCAAAAGACAAAAAGATGACTGATAAGGAAACAGGCACTTCATACTGTATTCAAGTTAGGCATTTATTTTTGCTAAGACACCATTATGGTAGTGGAACGATAAAATCACAGGTTTTTTAAATAATTTGTGTTTCTGTCAAAGGATTCATACTCATAATGTGTACTCTCTCAATCAATAAAAAAACTAAAAACCAGACAATTTAAAAAATAAAATCTGATAGAAAAATAATGGACAAAATACCTGAGTAGGTCCTTCATGCAAGAGAATAACCAACTAACTGATAAAAATATATAGACACATATTTTACCTCACATAGTCATCAAGGATGTGTGAATTCATCCACATAGAGACACTAATACACATCCAGCAGGCATTTGAAATCAGTACACTTAAATACTGAGTGTTGGAAAGGATGTTCTGTCACATGACTGCTAACATCAGGATGTACAGTGCTGTAGCAATTCTATGTGCAAGTAATCCTGTGTTCCAAGAAATTCTTGAATATTTTAACAGAAGCATTTATCTGTGTGTCCACAAAACATGTATCAAAAAACATATACAAAAATATTCAGAGCATCACCATTGATAATCACCCAAACTGGACATACTATAAATTGCCATTAACAGGGTCTCCTTAGTGTCACAGATGTTAAAGTCTCATCACTGTCAAACCATCATCAGCCACTACAGCGTGAGTTCAATCCCTGGCTAGGGAGCTGAACCACATGGCAAGGCAGACCTCTCCTGTCTCGCCTGCTGCTTTCCTTAGCAGTGTATTTCGGTGGATCCTACTGTTCTGCTCCCCACTCTGTCTCTGGTGAATCTTCACACCTCTGGCCTATGCCCCAGTTTTTAATAAAATAAATCTTTTAAAAAACCAAGTCTCCATTAAAATTGAAATTGATAAACATTTTATGAAATGTTTATAATTGTTCCTTTGCCTTTTTAAATTTCAACAATGCATCAGTAATAGTGAAAAGGTAATTTTGCACATGACAGTGTGGATAAGTCTCATAAACATAATGGTGGGTAAAACAAGTCAGACCCAAGAATATATGGTGTTTTGATTTTTTTTTATATTTTTATTTAAAGATTTAAAAAATTACAGGAAAAATATTCTGTCGTGATGGAAGGCAGGTAGTGTCTCCTTCATGGAGGTGAAAGAGGGTTCAGGAATGCTGGTAGTGATCAGTATTTTGATCTGGGATGTGTTATCATGGGCGAATTCAGTTTACAAAAAATTAACAAACTATACATTTATAATCTACTAAAACTTCTCTGTATTATCCTTTAAAATACTTGCATTAAAACAGGAAAAGGATATTTACTGAAATTCATATATTTACCATGGAACTAATCACTTCTCTAAATTTTATGCCAGCACCTCAGTCTACAGAGTAGACACAGGAATAGTGAAAATGTTGACATAAGTTTTTAAACCTTTGCGTTTTAAAGCTTTAAGTTCTCTATGTACTTACCACTAGTATGAAGTCATAGCTGATTCAAAGGAATGACCGCAATTAACAACAGCATTTCAGAGGCATTTCTTTCAACAAATGTTTATTGGAGTTCTGGTCTTGTTCCGGCATCACTCTTGATGGTGACTGCGGCAAAACACTCGATTATCAGCCATCACCCTCTCTAGACTGCCGATTAGCACACCCACCTGCACTTTATTCTGGACTTATTTTCATGTGGCTACTTGATAATGTACTTAATGCCTGGAAAGAAACAGAAGTGAATTACTGCATGCACTTGATATAGTCTGTGGGCAGAATATTCCATGACAGAAGGCCCACTGATTTATGAATGCCAGCACCTCTCTGCTTTTCTATGGGTGTTATTACACTATTATTCTTTAATGGATCCTAGTAAAATACTTTTAAAATCGTTGTTTAAATTTATGTGCATAAGAATCATCTGGTCAAGTTGTCAAAAATGCAGATTTCCAAGCCCAAGCTGAAGACTGAGTGAAGATGCAAGGTTTCTGCATTTTTTAAAGATTTATTTATTTATGCATATAAGAACTGGGGTACCGGCCAGAGGTTCAGAAGGTGAGAGGGTTCACCAGAGACAGAGTGGGGAGCAGGACAGGCAGATCTACTGAAATACACGCTGAGGGGAGCAGTGGGCTGGACAGAGAGATCTGCGCCAACAGGAAGGGCCGGGTTTCTGCATTTTTAATACTTGAGATGGCAATTGGAGATACTGTGTTTTAATTAAACTAATTCTCAGCAGACCAAAGCTATTAAGAATGTGATATCTTTGTTGTGAATCTGTGGGGACTTTTCCTTTTGGAATTTTTTTTTTCTGTTTAAGTAAGTTATAGTTCATCTTTATTTGAAGTAAAAGGGCCAAGTTGCTTGTGAGCTAAGTGGATATGGGAAAACAAATAGAGAATATTTAAAATTAGGAGTTTAGAAGCTACCATCAGCTTCTTTAATGTAATCATAAAATACATTGATTGAACAAAGCCAAAATGTCAGACGGACCTGTTGTTAATTTATGTAGGCATTTCTTAAACCACTGAAGTTTACAAGTTTTACATCTCCGGAATTCTGAAACTATTTTTGGTGCATGTAGTTGCATGTCATCTTTTTGAGAGATCTGTATCCCGTACCTTTGACATTTTTGTTTGTCAAGATTTAGATAAAAGGATGAGAGTCATTGCCCACACATTACCTCTCTGCCTCACCACTTGTTGGGTTGGAAATAATTAAGGTGGAGCTGAAACAATGACTCAATACCTGTTTACCCTGTGGGCATTAGTTCACAAGTGTTGAAATAAGTACACAGTATAAAAAAGAAACAATAAATGTTTCTTTTGCTACATTAGACTTTTTCCTTAATGCATTTTGAGGAAATGTGCAAAACTTTGGGCTAAATTTTGCTGTTAAATGGAAAATTTATCTTTTTTAGAGCTTCCCTGTGCTTCCATGCCAGCAAAAACGACAGAGTAAGTGAAGAAAGTGAGCTGAGATGTGGTTATCATAATCCACTCTTAAAACAGCCTTTTAAGACTACTTTGCATTCTATGTCGCCCACTGCTGCAGATCTTGGCTTGCAAAGATTAGACTTTACACAGATTGCAATGTCAAACTTTGAAGCTGCTAGCGGTTTTCCACTGTCCTGCATCCTTTGACAGCATAACTTTGAAGTGGGTTGCTAACAGAGCAAGAGGAGGAACTATAAAAATTGCTACTTTTGACAAAAATTCTAAAATATTATCTTTACTGAAAAATAAAAAGAATAAAAATTGAAAGGGACAGTTCTGAACTAGTTTCCAATAAAATGACTATTGATGCTTTGACCTATAAACACAGTGTAGTCATGTCATTGTATGGTATTTTCTTAATCATTTTATTAGAATTAGAATTTATTATATAACCCACTGAGTCTAAAGTAGCTGAGCCAACTGGTTATATCATGTTATCTTGTGCCAATAAATTTACTGCTCTCTCTTCAGACCTGGTTATCTCCCAGGGAACTTCCCTTTCTGCTTTCTCTTTCTTATTTGACCCAAGAAAACCTCTCCCTCTTCTTCAAAGATTCAAATGAAGATCAAGCCTCAGAAGGCACTTTCTCAACCTATGCTCTTGACTTTACTGGTGTGTAATAATCCAGGTGACTGAGTTATGAGTCATTGGCATAATATATCTGGTTGTCTCCCGTTTATCCTTGCCTTTAAAATTACACTATTAGCACCTGACTCACTCTCTTAATTAATATCTGCAGTTTTGAGTATGGCTCCCTCTCAAAGCTTGACTGCTTCTAGATACTTCCTGGCAAATAGTAGTCACATTTGTTGAATGAATGAATGATGTTTATGGACTGCACGCCTCTCCTTCTCACACACTTTGTGTTTTCTCAGTTGCCTTTTGCTTGGTTATGTGTTTTCTAATATTTGGGGAAACAGTTAAAAAGGCTATTAGTCCCATGAGAAAGAACCAGCCCTAAGGGATGATGATGAGATGCATTTTTGAACACTTACATTGAACTGCTAAGCGAATATTTCCCTTAAAATCACTCTTTTACTTCACATTTTAAAATCATGTTTAAATCACATATTTATGACTCTTCTTTGGTCATTTTCTTTTCCCATTCCTCCTACCCAATCTTTTAATTTGCTAGTTTGTCTACCATGGCCCTATTGAAAGACAAAAAAATTGAGTTAGAACTTGGATTAAATACCTATTTCCTTTTTTTTCTAAAAGAATATCTCTAAAGTATAAACAGATGGCCTACATCAGATTCAACTATATTATTAATTCAAAAGTGTAGACATGACACTGTAGAGCTGCTGATGATAGCTTTTAGGGGATGTGGGCCAGAAATGTGTGTTTTCAATGAGAAATTTAAGTGTTAATAGTGCACTGTCACTTTTGAGACTCAACTACACTTGGCCATGATGTATAAGCTCCAAATGGAAATTAAATAAAACAAAACTATTTGTTGACCATCAGTGTAAATGCCATCACTTAAGAGTTGTACAGCACCCATCTTGCACTGCCATACAAAGCAACCCTGTCACAATTAATGATATTTATCTCACACTAACTTCCATTATTTTGTTTGAAAAGTAAAAAATCTGGGATAATGTAGACAAACATCATGATCCTGAGCCCCTGATTTTGTCATCATCATGTTGTTATAATCTTCATTGTTGGGTGAAATCATCGGCTGTAGTCTCCTCTAGGTAGAGGACTTCTGAATAAATCACCGAATAAATCCATCCTTTTCACAGGAGATATGATGTGTAGTGGCATACTGTATAAGAGATCTGGGGTGTTCTACTATTTATCTGGTCTCAGACATTTTGAATACATTATTATAGACTCATTGAAAGTATCTGTACAGCACATGTTCATAAAAACAAATTAAGACTCATAAATCATATTTTGCCTTCTTCTCTTTTGTGTTTTCCATCTATAGTGGACACACCGGATCCATATGTGGAACTTTTCATCTCCTCGACCCCTGACAGTAGGAAGAGAACAAGACATTTCAATAATGATGTAAATCCTGTGTGGAATGAGACATTTGAATTTATTTTGGATCCCAATCAGGACAATATTCTGGAGGTGAGTGAATTATTTGGGGACTGTTAAATGGTCATCTTCATGCTGAGACTGATGCTTGGGTAGGTGTGGTTGACATGTAGCTGTACAGGTGGTGTATCTGGTTTATAGATGATGCTCATTAATTCTGGGAGGTCCAATGGATATGAAGACATTAGGTAGAGCTGAGAAGCCGTTATCCTCCATATACACTTCAGAGAAAACATTTTCTGTTTTAAAGAAGATCCAAGTTTGAAATAATAAACATATTTTCAATTCCCTTTCAAATAAGTTATAACGAACCCTTTCTAGTGTAGTTGCATAGATATGCTACATTAATTTATGTCTTATATTCTGAGATAGCATTTCTCTTGAGAGGGGATAAAGTGCCATTTTTGAAAGCATGATAATGAAATAGGTCAACTGGGAGGATTTTTATAATTAGCATTATTTTAGTTGCAAATGTAGATTTCAGGAAGAAAAGACAGCTGTATTGTTAGCCTTTGAATATTGAAGCTCCCAAATGACTGTGAAATATGAGTTAAGAACTTTGATTTGCTAAATGTAATGGGAATTTTGGATATAGATTCCATAAATATGAGGGAAACTTTATAGTCACGCTCTAGGTTTTCCTTTATGTAGATCACGTTAATGGATGCCAATTATGTCATGGATGAAACTCTGGGGACTGCAACTTTTCCCATATCTTCTATGAAAGTGGGAGAGAAGAAACAAGTTCCTTTTGTTTTCAACCAAGTAAGTAACACAACAGAATTATTTTTCAACTTTATTTTAGATAAAATCTATTTACTCTAGAAAGTTGAGCTTAATGTTTGGAAATTTTATTATTTACTTGTTTGAATTTTTAAAACATGTTTAGTTATAAATTAAGCCTCTATCCTATGGAGGGATATTTTTGTCCCAAGAAATACTCAGTTCACTAGGGTAAAGGCAGGGAGAAGTTCATAGGAATGGCCTTGTGAGTATTGTTGTCTTTATATTTCTAGGTTTGCTGCATTTCTCAAATTTTAATAATTTGTTCAGGAATAAGAAAATCATTGAAGAGCTATTTATACACTACCATTTTATAAGAAACAGATTCAGTAGTTTACAGTGAGAGACAAACAACCAGTGGGTCTGTGTACAGATGTTGTTTAGTGTTTGAATTCTTCTTACTGGGAGAGACTCTATTTTTTTTTCATCGTTAGAAAGACTTTCAGATCTCTGTCCTCTCCTACAACTACCCATTCCTAGACTGTTACCTCCTCCATGTTGCCTTTCTTAACCATTACCATCCTAAATGACCTCTTCTTCCCCTCAACTCCCATCATTATCTTTGACATCTGTTGAGACTGAATTATTTAAACTGTTCAATTTTTCATCTTCCTCCCCATCATTGGCCCCTCACCATAAAATAAACTTCTAAGAAAATCATGATTTTACATGCCTAATTACAAACTTAGTACATGGCCAATATTTATTGAAGAAATATGTATCTATGTAGGAACCAGCTTAAACCCATAGGACTACCTGACTAGGTCACCATAGTCAGAAACCCTCAGGTGCTCTGGGATTTCAGCTCTTAGCTGGTCTCTTCAGGGCCATGAGGATGTGCTCTTTTATGTCTTCTAGGCAATGCTAAGAGTTTCACTGCCCATATGTTTATTGACCTCTTTTAAGGTTATTTCATTTATTTCTTTTGTTAATATTTATTGAAGTTTTACTATGTACCAATAATTTGTATTTTTTTAAGGAAGATAAATAAAAATAAGGTTTAAGAAGCTACCTTTCCATTATTTTTATGTGGGATGAAGGTGGGAAGTGTTGGAATGTTTGGCAAAGTCAAGGAGATATATACATATTAAAAAGAAACCATCGCATGAGAGATATGTACCCATGAAGTGTGCTGTGGGAAGACAAACGAAGAAAGATTGTGTTGTGAGAAGAAGACAGAAAGGGCTTGATATCAGTAGATGACTTTAAACATCTTAATGGAGAGAACAGTTGGCATTTTGTTTGTTATTCAAAGCCCAGTTCTGTCCCCTATATGTTTTATCCTGGTGAAGTCTCTTAGCTCCTCTCCTTCCCAGCTGTAAAATGGAAAGCCATTATGATTAAGTTATTTGATTTTATTTATATATATGATATACCCATATGATACTATTGACCATAAAATTAATATTACAAATGAATATCTTAAATCTATTAGATAGTGTCATGGGGGAGAACTAGGTGTAGGCTGGAGGTACGGTGGTGAAAGAATTCACCAGAGACCAAGTGAAAGTTAGAACAGGCAGATTTAATCAGATAACACTGCTAAGAAAAGTAGCAGGTGAGGCATGAGGGGGCTGTTGCCCATTAGTGATGGTCCGTGGCTCTTTATACTTCAGGTACCATTGACTAGTTAGAGTGACTAGTCTTGGGTGTGTCCAGACAGATGATCTGAATTAGCACAACGAATCATCAGTTCTATGGATCATAAGCTTAAAACCCATGGCAATTCCATCTACTCCTTGGGTAAGGAATGGGGACTTTTAAATTTAGCAATGATACCATGGCAGATATTATTAATAATAATCATATTTCATTTGTTATATTAATCACAGATTATATATTTACTTAATTTAAATCTTTATCAACATTTAATTTAAATATATAGTTATCATTTATTTTATTTTTTTTTAAGATTTATTTATTTGTGCATACAGAACTGGGGTACAGGCCAGAGGCTCAGGGGCAGCGAGAAGCTTCACTAGAGACAGAGTGGGGAGCAGAACAGGCAGATCTACGAAGTACACTGCTGAGGGGAACAGCGGGTGGGTCAGGAGAGGACTGCTGTCCCATGTGGTCGCCTCCGGGGCAGGCGGGAATTGAACACATGCAACTCATGCAGAAGTGACTTTAGCTTCTTAGCGCAGTGCTTTAACCCGCTGCGCCACCAGAGAGGGCCTATAGTTATCATTTATTATAGAAATCTATGTAAAAGGTATACCCACATAGATATATCCACACCATCTAGTGCTTAGAACAGTATCTGGTACATATTAAGCATTCCATAAATGCTTATTGTTTTAGTTACTGCTGCTATTGTACATTGAGAAAATAGTAGAATTTAAGTGGGCAGAGCAGTTATGAGCAATCCAGGCAGAAGAAGCTGAAAAGACAGAGAGACTTAAAAGAAGAAAGCAAGTTGAGGCCTGGCAAGTCCAAGGGCCTGGTGGGTAAGTGTTGTGGAGTAGCAGTGTAAAGAGCTTAGAGGTAGTCAAAGGTTAAAATCACAGATCTCACCAGTTATGTGTTGCTAGGATCCCTTCTCAGTACATATTTGTGAGGCCTTTGTGAGTGTGAATTAGATCTACAAAGTGTAATGCTTCTTTTCACTTTTCAGTCTCTGACACAAGACTGAATCTAAGAGAAGATTCTTGTGCGAAAACATGTTTTTCTTCTCCTCTAGTCATTTCCTCTGCTTAGGTGTCTATCCCCAGGGACTAAAAAAAAAGGTTTTCTGCATTCCTGTATTTAAAGTAGATTACATAGCCACTTCCTTTAATGTACCTGAGGAAGCAGTTAACAGACAGCTTTGCTTCATGCTATGTTCTGGAGTCCTTAACAGCTGTTTTCTGAATGATGACAGTTCTGTGGTAGTGTGGGGAGAAGGTAAATATGAGTGTGCCTGTTGGAGATCACCTTCTTCCCCAAGTCAGGTGGCTCACTAGCCAGTCAGCCTCTAATATCTAAATCCCCATCTCTCAGAGATCAGTTTTTTCTCTACAATCTTCAAAGAGGACATTATTAATAAAATTTAAAAATTTGTCATCCTAAAGTTATTCCTAGTCAACACAGAGTGATATCTGTATCCAGGAGCCAGCTGGAAAAATAAGGGATGACCTGTTTCCTCTAGGCAAAAACTGGAAACTGGGAAAGAATGTGTCTCATTTTGTTTCTATTGCTAACCCTTCTCCAGAATGTTTAAATTATTATTCTCTCACTCTGTCTTGTCTTCGTCATTAAAATAAAGGTTTAATTAACTTATTTCAAAGGTCCTTTCTAATTTATAAAATTCTGGATTTAAAAAGGACACTTTTTTTTTCCCTTTGACCATTTTCACCCAGAAGCTTTAAGTTCTTCCCATTTTATAAATAGGATCACAAAATAATTATTTTGTAGTAATACATATTTTTATTATTTAATTTTAAATGCCTGGCCTGTCAACACATTATTTTTTTGAAGAGGAGAAAAAGTTGAGTTTTCACTGTGCTCTTCAAACTCTGGTAAATATTAAAGAGACTACAAAAGTTCCATTCCAAGGAATTTGTTTGGAAAGGAATAAAAATTCATATGTAAACTGATAAGCAATAAAATAGTGTATCTTGATGCATATAGGCACTCATTTACCTACTTAGGAGTTCTTTATTGAACACTTGTATGTTCTAGGCAACATTCTAGGTGATAAGCAAATAGCACAGGGTGTGATAAATGACCTGTTGGTTGCCCATACAGCTTCATTCTAATGGGGAGGGTCAGTGGGTAACAGTGAACAAAAGGATAGTCAACACAGCATCAGAGAGTGATAACTACTATATGGTGCTAAATACTATAAAGAAAATAAAATAGGTGTCTTACAGAACAGTTGGTGGGCAACTAAAGTTTATACAGTTAAGGAAGTCATCCCTAAAGCATAATTTTCCACAAAATTTTATCATAAAAATTTTCAGGGCCTCCCAGGTAGCATAGGGGTTAAGTCTCAGGCACTACAGCTTCAGTTCTATACCTAGCCAGGGAGCTGACTCACATATGACAAAACAGACCTCTTCTGTCTCACCTGCTGCTCCCCTCAGCATTGTATTTCAGTAGATCTGCTTGTCTGCTCCACACTCTGTCTTTTGTTAACCCACTTGCCCTCCACCCCATACCTATGGCCTACACCCCCGTTCTCTGCATAAATAAATAAGTCTTGAAGAAAAAAAAGCATTTCAACTGAAATAAGTCAAAAGGAATACTACAAATAGCAGATGGTGTCACTTATATGTGGAACACAGAGAAGCAATCCAAAGCTTTGGTCAGGTAAAAATGAAGCATAACAAACCCTAAAAATCTGACTGTGGAACTAAGCCAACAGGAGGGGAGATATGAGGACACAACAAGGAGGGAGCTCAGATAAAGGTGGTAGAGGATAATAGTTGCCTCAGTGAGGGTGCAGCATGGTAACAGCACCTAAAGGAGAAGATCACAATCATCAACATTGCAAATCAATGTTCCCACAATTAAAAATACATTCATAGAATATTTAAAAATTTCAAATTTGAAACAAACATTTATATAACTGCCGCCTAAATTCCACAGTCTTCTGCTGAAGGAAAGCAAATTGCAGATAATGATATGCTTCACCCACCCCCTACCTAAACACTTCATACGTCAGTAAATACATTTAAGTATTCACATATTATAATTTTGTAACAAGTAAATCATGCCATGATAGATAATATGTGTAATGAGACTTGTAAGAAATTATTCATTCAATAATTATTGTTCCCAAATAACTATTGAACACCTACAGTTTGACAGCCTTTAGGCATTTCTTGGTCTGCTTTGCTTAGAGCCAAGCAAAAGCAACAAAAATCACTATACTTGCAAAATATATACTTAATAAGATAAAAAAGCAAGATAAATCAGGAAACACTTCTTGTGTTAGTGTTAGTCGTAGTGCTGAATAAACTACGGAAGGCAGAAAGGGTTTATGTACATGACTGTGAAGGGGAATGCAGATGTAGTCCCCAAAATGTTACAGACACTTAAAATCTTTTCTAAATTTATAACATTTGTAATGTACTTATAAATATTTATAATTCTGGGCCCTCCCTGGCGGCGCAGCGGGTTAAAGCACAGCACTATGAAGCTAAAGCCTTTTCAGTATGAGTTTGATCCCCACCCCTATCCCTGCCCTGGAGGTGATCCACATGGCGCAGCAGACCTCTCCTGACCTGCCCGCCGCACCCCTCAGCAGTGTACTTAGTCAGTCGGCCTGTTCTGCTCCCCACTTTGTCTCTGGTGAATCCTCTCACTGCCCCCTGCACCTCTGATCCATACCCCAGTTCTGTATGCATAAATAAATAAATCTTAAAAAAATTATATTTATAATTCCTAGAAGAAGTAGAGTTTTTCTCACCTAAGCCTCTCTGATGACATCTGAGGGCAGAAAGCACTCTAAATAGAAAGGTCCTGAAGTAGAGTTTTCCTGGATAATTGAGAACTAGGAACAAAGAGTAGTTGAGAGGACAGGGGAGATGAGGACAGAGGCTACAGGGGGTTACAATGGACATTTGTGGCTTAGTATTGACCTTAAAGAAAGGATGTGGTTGGATGACACACAGTTGAATTGGTGGTAGGAAACCCATGGGGATTACAACTGAACAAAATGAAGAATAAAAACATACAAAATTTATTTTAAAATTTAAAAAAAAGAGAGGTTGTTCCAGTAGAGAAAAGTTCCTGAGCTTCTCGTAGTTAGGAGACTAGAAGGGACAAAGCATGTTTGAGAAACAATGTCTAGACAAGTTGATGGAAGTAGAGCATTCATGCATGGAGGAAGAACAGGCACCCAGAAGTCAGACAGTAACAGAGCTCACATTTGCAAAGTCAGAACGTGGATATTCTCTTTCTGAGTCATAGAAGTCATAGAAGTTTGATCACATCATGGAAAAATTACATTAATAGGCTTTGGCTTTTTCCTCAGCAGCATTACTAAAGATACAGAAAGTGTTTGATACTGAAAACAAATACACAGATGCACACACACGTAAACACAGTTATCCACATCTTTGTATGTTATATTACATTCACCACTAAAGGTAACTCCATCCTTTACCACACAGTTCACCCCTTTGACCTGATTTATTCTCTCCCCTTCCCCCTTTCCTCTAATAACCACTCATTTAGACTTATGATCCAAGAGTTTATTCTTACTTTATTTAGTTTATTAATGTGTTTCTTTGTGTACCAAATCTGAGTAAAACCACATGGTATTTTTCTTTCTCCCTCTGATTTATACCACTCTAGTTTCATCCACGTTGTTGCAAATGGTAGGATTTCTTTCTTTCTTTCTTTCTTTCTTTCTTTCTTTCTTTCTTTCTTTCTTTCTTTCTTTCTTTCTTTCTTTCTTTCTTTCTTTCTTTCTTTCT